AATAGCAAAAGTATTAATAAAAAATTAATTTAGTACATTTTACAAATTGGAAGAACACTTGTACAACTAATATATTTGAATAAAGACTTGTGTAGTCTTTTGTGTATTCAAAAACATTTTACAAACATATTTTTTAAACAATTGTGGGTATTATAGTCTTTATAAAGATTCCTTAAAAAGAAGGTTACACAAATTTTATCTTCACTTTAAGTCATCTTTGATATAAGATTTTAAAAGACGATTAAATATTTGTCTTCTCAAATTTAATAGTGTTGATGGAAACTGATATGGGCGTGACTGCACAAACACATTCTGGCACATCACATACCCTGATTTGCAATAATCTGGAACCTATAGTCTATAGCGACATGTAAAAGTAATAATGAAATTTTAGGAAGCTTAAATTAGTCATAACCTTAAAAAATGCTTATTGATTATGAATAGTCTATCGGAGCTTAAGAGGGATCGCATGGCATAATTGTAGCTTAGCAAGGGTACATGAAATAAGATAAAAAGGAGGAACTGAAAAAAGGATAAAGAGAGAGTCACATAGTATACAGTACAAATAATAAGAAAAACCGTTTCCTAAATTAAAACCTTAATTAGGACGTGTGTTCATCGTTGCCAAACCAAGTAAAAACTAATTAACTTACCTAACCCAGTACTTGACGTGAAATAGGACGGCTGAGATCACAAACAGAAAAGTGGTAAAGATTTGTCAAGAGAAGCAAACAATGGAAAGAGAAGGAAAGTGTTAGTAGAACTCGGCTAAATAACTTACATGCTTCAAGTTGAGAAGCCAAACACTTACTGGACGTTACGTGAGAAGTGCTTAGGAGAAGTGACAGACTCGCCAAAAGAGACGTCAACAATAGTAAAAAAACAAACAAATAAGGTTTTTTTATATGTTGTCAACTTGTTCTTTTTTATTAAATAAAGATTAAAACTAAACTTTGCTATTACTAAGTCATTAGTATGTTTTATTAATTATTTTATTTATTGAAAAATGTTTAAGAGAAAATAAAAAGATATATTGGAAGTAATATTTTTTATATATTTAATAAAGTTACATAATACCTGCTTATTTCATCAAAAATTAAATTCTTTTACTACCAACTGTAACAAGTCTAACTATTTGATTTTTATTTGCTTAAATAATACTTAAGATAAATTTATAACTGGTATAGTATCGAGATTGTGATCTTCAGAAAAGATGTTATAGCATGATTATCATTTGAATAATGTCACAATAATTGTTAAAAGTGTTCCAATGTTGGTTGAATTTCTAACCTAAACTATTTCAATCCAGTGCAAGGCTTAAATATATAATACTAGTCACAAGTATTAAGAAGTACAACAGTCTATACCATTGAATATAAAGGAAGATATAAGGTTCAGATAACAAGGTATAAAAGCACTTAAGCCAATCTTCTTAATCAAGATTTACTCTTCAAGTCAGTTCATAAAAACAGATTGTAGGTAGTTTAAACTGGTGGCAAGATATCAACTTCCTATTAAACTATTTCTGGGTATTGTTAATGGGGAAATTGCTTCAATAAGGCCTAGTGATACGACATTCGTATAACACGCCTAATTGGAGTAATAAAAATACTTATAAAATAGACTCATTATATAATAAAAAGCCTAGATAGTTTATTTTATAGTCTAGTAGTTTATAAGTCATAGAGTTATAGTCCTATAGCCAATAGTTATAGTAATATAAATAAGAGAGGATAACTTAACAATAAATAACTTGATTTTACATAACAAAAACATTAATAAAATTTAATTACTATTCTTGTAAAAGTTGTGCGAGTATTAATTAAAAGTTATTATAAGTGATAGTATAATAGACATGTCTAAAAAGAAAGTTACTAATTAACTTACCTTCTGAAATAATGTCGTCACGAGAGGATTATTCTAGAAGTTACTAATGAGATTTTTAATTCAAACTATCGAAGAAAGATGACAAGAGGAAGAAGAGAGTAATAAGTAATAGTTTAAGGTTGGCTAAGTCAAATCCATATCTCAAGTAGAGAAAAGAAGAATAACCTATCCCAATTTATGTGAGTTTAACCTGCCACAAGCAACAAACTTACCATTTTAACATTAACAGTATCATTAAGATGATATATCAAGTATTGAATCTTGGATATTTGAAAGAGATGTATATGAGGGATAATCTGTATAGAGTAGTATATAATTACTAATTTATACAAGTTTTTAGAAGGTCTCTTAATGATAATTTCTATTATATAATATGATTTAATATCTATTAATAAAAGATATGTTTTGATTATATTTTGATTTATCTAAAATAATATTAATAATAATAAATAAATTTATAACTAGTTCTTATTGCTTAGACAGACTTGTATTATTGTTATTAAACTGGCTTTACTCTAGATACTTTTTTAAAATACTAACATATTAGTTTATTACTGAATTGAAATAAGACTTAAGCAGGAATCTGTAAAAAAAACATCAGATATTAGTAAGATAATTATTAAGCCTACTTGTTAAAAGTGGATATATTATATATCTTATAATTTATAATAATTATTATAATATTGGCCAGATGAATATTATATTATGTCATTTTTTCTGAAAGATATAAATCTCAATGTCTATTAAATCAATATAAGAAATAACTTTACATAATAAACAATATATTTAACAGGTTATAGTGTCTGATATTATCTAAGTTCTATTAAATTATTTTCATCTAATGTTGAATCAGTATTGTTTAATTTGACTTGTAGAGTATTAACCACTATTTTATAGATCCACTGATCTTTTTTTGATAATTATTGTAATATTAATCAAATAATTTTATGTTATAATACCCTTTTTAAAAATTATTTTTTATTAATGTTAAGGTGAGGCATATCTTATTATTTTTATTAATTGTATAATTGTTATTATTATATGATTAATTTTAAGATATGAAATATATAGACAGAGTTAAACTATATATATATTAGTTTATTACTTATTGTAGTAAATATATTTCTAATAAAAAAAAACCTTTGAACAGTGAAAAAGTTAAGAAAGAAACTATTTATATATAAGGATAAAATATAATATAAAAAAATTTAAGGAACAAAATTATTATAATATAAGTAAAAAAGTATAGAAGTGTTAAAAGTTGAAAGGTAAATGTTTTTTAATGTGAAGTTACTATATATATTAATTTGAAGTTAGAGTTAATTTCTTCCCAAAAGCTATATATAGTTGAAAGAGTTAAAAATAAGAGATGTTAAAATAGTAACAGTATATATTGAGTTTTGAATACAATTATTTTTTGTGTTAATAATTTCTTTTGCAGGGTACAAACCAAATATGTTTATCTAGGCCCAAGTATTCTTTTTGATAGCTGGGTACAACTCCAGTAGCAGTAGAGAAGCATTGGCTTAAGCTACCAGATCACAGGATGCAACTTTCTAATATTTCACTTTTACTTATAACAAAAGTACTTTATTTTTATTCATATTGGTTAGGCTTCCTTTTCTAAAAATTATAATTTCAATGTTTATTGAATTTGTATAAGAAATAACTTTTTATAAAAACAGCACTTAACAGATTATGATGTTAGATATTATATTAATTTATTCAATTGTCTTTACTTGAAGATAAATTGATATTTTGGAATTTGAACTTGAAAGTATTAATTATTGTCTATTAATCCACAGATCTTATAATTAAATAAATATTGTTTATTTAATATTAAATATACAAATTTATTTATATAATCTATAATCTATATTATTAACTATATTGTAATATAGGTTATACTTAACTTTTATTGCATATATAAATTGGTAATATAATGGTTAAAAACTTTAATTTAAATAAATTTTATATTTAATATATTATATAAATAATGTTTAAAACATTTATTTATTCATTATTATATATTCTATTAATTTATATCAAAATAGTATTTAAAACCATTATTTATTTATTATTATATATTCTATTAATTTATATAAAAATTAAAATTTGCAAATCTTAAAAAAATCTTGTAACATTTACAAAATGTTAATAAGTTATATTGATTCTTTAATTTTGTTTCAATAATATAATTTTTAACAGAATGCAAAATATTAATTTAAAACAATAAATTGATTAATTAATAAGACAATCTTAAAAAAAATAAGTATTGATTTATTGTAATTATAATATATAATTTTTTTATTTAATTATAAGTATGGTTCCAAAAATCAGACTCACATAGACTCTTATAGATTTGAATTATTAAAAATAATGGTGGGATATAATTCACATATTAAATTTAATATAAACTTGAGAATCGGAATCCTTCTAACCTAATCAATGCATTATTCCCACTTTTCGCGTTTTTTCACATTTTCGGGATTCTCATCTAACAGCACGTTAAGATCCGGTTATTGGTTTTCGTCGAACACATGTGAGCCACTTTACAAGATAATATTCTACTATAAATGGAATAGTCTTGTAATACAGTAAATGTAAGATAGTTTATACAGTAGTATGATCTTTAGAAATGATACAGTACTTCACGAAATACCCTGAAAAAAAAAGGTTTCACATGACATTAAACGTTTTTTTTTATGTAAGGAAGATCAACCATAATATACACAGCCGCTGCAAGGAAAGCTTGTTCGTTGGTATTATTCGTAATCCGTTGTTCTAGGGACAGTTCCAACCAACTTATTTACATACAAATTCTTCACGGCAAGGATCATGGATGATGTGGCTGTTGAGATATTTTCCACCGATCCTAATAAAAAACGTTCGTGCACTGTCCAGTGAACTTGGTTTTCTAATTTTATCTATCAAATAATCAAGATCTCGATTGGTTTTTGTCTTGAGTGAATGTCGCACACAATACACGTAATTTGAGATAATATCTTAGCTGTTTTTAAAGAAGGGTTGCTTCATCAGTCGTATACAAAGATCGGTTTGCAGACATGCGTTTTATATTTTTAAAATCTTGAAGATGACTCAACGTTTCATCTTTATATTTCTTGAGCAGTTCTCTTAAGACAAGTCTGTAAGAGAGATATGCCATTTGTAAAAAAAGAAGGAAAAGTAAATAGTCCACCAGTTAGTTGTCCACCATGAGCTGTTTGTACGAATTCGCAAAGTTCTTCTAGAGTCCAAGTGTACTGATGATTATCCTGATGAAAACACGAACACCATTCTTCCGCCGCAATCTCTTTGCGCATATTTTCGGGTCATTCGGAAAATTGCAATGCACCCAATTTTATTGGATCGAAAGTTTCCGCAGAATATGAACTAAAAATTATAAATCGGTCGAGTATTAGAAGTGCCAGGTTGAATTGCCTGAAATTCCATTGTTGGCCTCGGTACAAACGTGGTTTTTCACGCTCGACTTGAGAATTCATTGTCGAATTTACCGATGAGTTCCATGAATCGTCTAACAGGATTGCAGCCAGTGGTGGTAATAATGATTGCAATTTCTCCTCAAGCTTTCAACATCATATAGTATTAAACATTGTGAACAACGTAAAAAAGAAAAAAAAACAACCAATTACCTCAGCCTTTCGCTGTTCCAAAAATAATCTAATCCTGTGCTCTTGTGGCACTTTTTGAAGTTCACTTAACTTTATAATCAAATTCGATAATCCGAACCCGATTTCGAGAAACATCTCTTCACATTTGATTCTGCAATAAACTATTATCGTAGCATCCTCTAGATCCCCAGGGTTCACTGCTCTGGCTCTTCGACTTTCCTCATTCGATGAATTTCTAATGATAAACATCTCGTTTTTTATGGTCCGTTCATCTCTACCACTAACCAGGGAAGCAAGTTCTTTGTGTCTATCCTCGTGATATGTGTAGTCGAGTATTTGATCGACCTTGGTGATGATTTCTACTGTCCTCAAACCCGATGGATCGGCTTTTCGAGCAAAACGCCATGCACTCTGAATGTCTATATTATAAGTTTCTGGGAAAATTGGAAGGTGTATGTTGTTCTCCTTCGCGATGTTTTCCCTGACATGGTTAAAGGTAAATCTTTAGTCTTCTTCCACATTGCGGACAATTCTTAAAAAGAATATTTTAGGTCATGTGAGAATTTGAATTCTTCGAAAATTTTGCAAAAACCTTGGAAAACCTGTTAAACAACCATATTCAAGGGATATTTAATATTAAGGTGCCCGATGTTAATACAAACAGTATTTTTTGTGAACTTCAACTCATCAGAGTCATCAGTTGGCAGACTTGTTGTATGAACGTCTTTGATACTTGGATTTTTAAGATTTCTTTGCGCCTTGAGGATTTTTTCCCTTCTACTTAGACCCAGTATATCGGCGAATTCAACTTCACGTGAAGGAACCCTTGTTTGTAGACTGTCTTCGACGTAGCGAAGACAAACTTTTCCCATTAGAGTTTCAGGCAGTAACATTCTGAGCCCAAATGGTGGTATCGTACGTCAACCGTTTTTCCTATTTCGTAAA